TGGGGTTGTAAGAGAAGTAAATGCGAGGGTCTTGCAAGAGGCGTGGAGTTAAAAGATAAAGAAAACAAACATAATGGGGGAGTTGCCACAGTTGCTCTTTGCTGATGACACTGTGCTCGGGGAGTTCTGAAGAGAAGTTGCAGAGGGGTGGATGAATTTGGTTAGGGTGTGCAAAAAAAAAAAAAATTTAAAAAAGTAATACAGGAAAGAGAAAGGTTTGGGATAAAAAAAAGATTAGGTGATGAAAGTTTGGTATCGATTGGGGGAAAGAGTATGGGGGAGGTGAATGATTCAGATATTTGGGAGTGGACGTGTCCGGATGGGTTATGAAAGATGAGGGAACATAAAATTTGATGGGGGGGAAAAGGGTGAGTGGTGCATTTAGGAGTCTTGGAGAAAAAAAAAATTTGTCCTTGGGGAAAAGAGGGGAAGTATAAGGTTAGTTTTTACCAACGCTTTATAGGGTGTGAAGCATGGGGATAAATTTGCGCGAGGAAAAGGCTGGAGGCAGGGGGAGATGTCATGCTGGGGGCAACGTGTGTGGAATATAATGCAAAAAATGTAGTTTGGAAAATTTAGGAGGAGGTGGGGTATTACCAAAACTGTTGTCCAGAGGGCTGAGGGGGGGTTGTTGAGGTGGTTCGGACATGTGAGAGAATGGAGCGAAACAGAGTGACTTAAGAGTGTATAGTATGTAGTGGAAGGAAGGGGGGTGGGGGTCGGCCTGGAAAAGGTTGGAGGGGGGGGTAAAGGAGGTTTTGTGTGCGAGGGGCTTGGATTCCAGCAGGCATGCGTGAGCGGTTTGATAGGGTGAATGGGACAAATGGTTTTTAATATTGACGTGCTGTTGGAGTGTGAGCAAAGAAACGTTTATGAAGGGATTCGGGGAAAACCCGGCACCCGGGGACTTGAGTCCTGGAGTGGGGAATCATGCCGTACCTTTAAAGGGGGGGGGTTTTTTAATTTGCAGTTTAAAAAAATGTAGTGTTTAAAACACCCTTCTTGGGAAGACAGGATGGAGGGGAAAAATGGTGAAAGTTTTTCTTTTCGGGCCCCCTGCCTTGGTGGGGAAACGGCCAGTGTTAATAAAAAAAATAAAATTTAATTTAATATCATATTTTAATATATTTAATTTTATATTTAATTATTTAAAATATATTTTTATTATTCTTTTTTTATTAATATATTATTTTAAATAATTTTACATTTTTTATATTTATATATATTATATATATATATATTATTTTTATATATTTAATATATAATATTATATATATATTTTTTATATTTTTAAAAAAGTCGGCCGTCTCCCCCGAGGCGGGTTGACCCAAAAAAGAAAAAAAAATCCCAAAAAGAAAATACTTTTTATCATCATTTTAACACTTTACCACACTCACAATTATCATGTTTTGCAGAGGTGCCAGAAACAACATTTTTAAGCATTTAAAAGTAAAAGATACACAACTTATCCCTCCAAATGCCAATATCCTAAAACCCCTCCCTTTAAAATGCAGGCATTGTACTTCCCAATTTTTCCCGGACTCAATTCCCACTATATAAAATAACGGTTTCCATGAATCACTTTTACTAAATATTACCCCGCCCCACTCCAACGATCGCATCCCAAGTTCATTCGTTCCATTCCTCCAAACACGCTCACGCCGCTTGCGGGAAGTCCAGCCCCTCCCCAAAAACCCCTTTTACCCCTCTCCCCAAACCCCCTTTCGAGACGCCCCCACCCCCCTTCCTTCCCCTTTAGATTTATTGCTTTCCCCTGTATTCTACTTTGACCCATTTTTTCTAAATGACCAAACCACCTCAACAACCCCTCTTTGCCCTGTAATGTTTTTTTTTACCCCAAACCCCTTTCTCCAAATTTTCCAAATCCAAAATTTTCTGCTAATATTTACACCAAAATTTCCCCTTAGACAGGAATCCCCACTGCCCCAACTGTCCCTCGCTGCTGCATTTACCACCCAAGCTTCACACCCATAAAAGAGGTTGGTCCACTATATTTTCTTACTTCCCTTCTTTGCCTCCATAATAGCGTTTTTTGACCCCACATATACCTCAACGCCCCCTCCCCTTTTTTCCCCTCTCTTTCTTGTTTAAACCCTCACCCTTTTCAAAAAATCCATCCACTGAAAAGTAAACCCCCCAAGTATCTAAAAACATTCACTTCTTTCATTCTCCTCATCCCTTTATACCAATTTTTTTTTATCAAAATCATTTGAACCCTCATCCCCTTTACTCTTTTCATTTCACTTTAAATTTTCTCCTTTAACACTTCCCAAACTCACCACAACCTTTGAAATTTTTTCTTTAAAATCCCCCCTAAGCACGTATCATCAGCAAAAAGAAACTGTGTAAATTTCCCCATTTTAAATTTGTTCCCCCATAATTTAATCCCACCCCTCTCCCAAACCCCTAGCATTTACTTTTTTTACAACCCCATCTATAATATATTAAAAAACCCATGGTGACATTACACTCCCCTTTTAAGCCTTCTTTTTCCCGGGGAAGTGTCTCCCTCTCTTCTACACCCCCTAACCTGGTCTCACTATCCTCATAAAAGCTTTTAACAGCATTTAGAAAAACTTACCACTATTCCATTATTGCAACATCTCCCAATTGCTCCTTTATCACTCTATCATACGCCTTTTCTAAATCCATAAATGCAATAAAAACTAACCTATCTTTATCTAAATACTGTTCACATATATGCTTCAATGTAAACACTTGATCTACACATCCCTACCCACTCTGAAGCCTCCTTGCTCATCCGCAATCCTACATTCTGTCTTACCTCTAATTCTTTCAATTATAACCTACCGTATACTTTTCCGGGTTTATACTCAGTAAACTTATTCCTCTATAATTTTTACAATCTCTTTTGTCCCGTTTCCCTTTATATAAAGGGATTATACATGCTCTCCGCCAATCCCTAGGTACCTTCCCCCCCTTTTCCCATACATTTATTAAACAAAAAGTACCAACCACTCCAAACATTTATATCCCCCCCTGCTTTTAACATTTCTGTCATGATCCCATCAGTTCCAGCTGCTTTACCCCCTTTCATTCTACGTAATGCCTCACGTACCTCCCCCACACTTAAATTCTGCTCTTCTGCACTCCTAAAAGATGGTATACCTCCCTGGCCAGTGCATGAAATTGCCACCTCCCTTTCTTCCTCAACATTTAAAAGTTCCTCAAAATATTCTCTCCATCTACCTAATACCTCCCTCTCCCCATCTACTAACTCCCCTACTCTGTTTTTAACTGACAAATCCATACTTTCCCTAGGCTTTCTTAACTTGTTTAACTCACTCCAAATTTTTTCTTATTTTCATTAAATTTCTTGACAGTGCCTCTCCCACTCTATCATCTGCTCTCATTTTGCACTCTCTCACCACTCTCTTCACCTTTCTTTTACTCTCCATATACTCTGCTCTTCTTATAACACTTCTGCTTTGTAAAAAACCTCTCATAAGCTACCTTTTTTCTCTTTTATCACACCCTTTACTTCATCATTCCACCAATTACTCCTCTTTCCTCCTGCCCCCACCCTCCTATAACCACAAGCTTCAGCCCCACATTCTAATACTGCATTTTTAAAACTCATCCAACCCTCTTCAACCCCCCCACTACTCATACTTGTACTAGCCCACCTTTCTGCCAATAGTCGCTTATATCTCACCCGAACTTCCTCCTCCCTTAGTTTATACACTTTCACCTCCCTCTTACTTGTTGCCACCTTCCTCTTTTCCCATCTACCTCTTACTCTAACTGTAGCTACAGCTAAATAATGATCCGATATATCAGTTGCCCCTCTATAAACATGTACATCCTGGAGCCTACCCATTAACCTTTTATCCACCAATACATAATCAAACAAACTACTTTCATTACGTGCTACATCATACCTTGTATATTTATTTATCCTCTTTTTCATAAAATATGTATTACTTATTACCAAACCTCTTTCTACACATAGCTCAATTAAAGGCTCCCCATTTACATTTACCCCTGGCACTCCAAATTTACCTACTACTCCCTCCATAACATTTTTACCCACTTTAGCATTGAAATCCCCAACCACCATTACTCTCACACTTGATTCAAAACTCCCCACGCATTCACTCAACATTTCCCAAAATCTCTCTCTCTCCTCTACACTTCTCTCTTCTCCAGGTGCATACACGCTTATTATAACCCACTTTTCACATCCAATCTTTATTTTACTCCACATAATCCTTGAATTAATACATTTGTAGTCCTCTTTTCCTGCCATAGCTTATCCTTCAACATTATTGCTACTCCTTCTTTAGCTCTAACTCTATTTGAAACCCCTGACCTAATCCCATTTATTCCTCTCCATTGAAACTCTCCCACCCCCTTCAGCTTTGTTTCACTTAAAGCCAGGACATCCAGTTTCTTCTCATTCATAACATCCACAATCATCTCTTTCTTATCATTTGCACAACATCCACGCACATTCAGACTTCCCACTTTGACAATTTTCTCTTCTTCTTCTTATATATATATATATAATATATATATATATATATATTATATATATATATATATATATATATATATATTATATATATATATATATATATAAACACACATAACGAACATTAAACAATGCAGAAATAACACAAATATTTGTGGTCTAATTAGAGACTCTTCTTTATATATGCCATCTCAAAAAATCAGGAAAACATATTTTTAAATTACCCTCATAAACCATTCCATGTGCTTATTGATTTATATAAATATGAAGGGAAAAATATGACGACTTGGAGGCTGTATAAATTTGTAGTGAAGGGAGGAAGTTTGGGGTCGTCCTAGGAATTGTTGGAGGGAGGTAAATTGAGTTGTTAGCCTGAGGTGAAAACTAGGTACAGTGACAGTTCGTTCCCTCAGTATTACTACTACTACTACTAATACTATTACTAATAATATTAGTTTACTTAGAAGTGTTTTTGTATTTGTAGGAAGAGGTCAAAGGGGCGGTGAACAGCGCTAGCAGCAGCGGCAACAGCAGCAGCGGTAGACAGCAACAACAGATCATCCAGAGTAAAGGATCCTCCGCGTCGTCACTCTCCTCAGTCGACGATCAAGGGTGAGTACCTCTACTGTGTTATATCTGCCACACTGCACCCGCTCAGGTGAGTCTCACTGGCTGGTAAATGAACTTTAGAAATTACAGCATTTTCACAATCTCTCTCTCTTACCTGTTTAGGGTTCGCATACTCTTGGCAACCTGGCTTCTGCTGTGGTCTTTGCAGATGGAATAAGTGGGAACCCTTTGCTAGTCTTGTGAGGCTTGCTGTGTTGTTAGGCGCTCGGTTCCTGGGCCCCCTCGTGGATTCTGGTCGTGATGTATTTCTGTCGCTCTAGGCAGTGGATGAGGTCCCCTGAGTGTCTAGCCCTGGTGACGACTGGCATATTTTTAGCAGCATGATTAAGTTCATTCTTCAAAGAAGTGGTGTTGGCTTTGCTGTAATTGCTGGAGATTATTCTTATTGTGTTTAGTTACGGAGAGAATCTTCTGTATTCTGTGCGGAGCTCAATACAATCCTTGCTGCTCCTGTCCTGATAGCTGACATATGTGGTTCTCGGTTCACTGTGTGCTCAGATTCCCAGTGTACTCTGCTTTGGCTCGGTATACTTCTGTCCACCCTATGGTCCAAAAGAGCTGTAAGTGGTTGGCGCATCTCCAGGTGCGGCACAAAGATGTGGAGTCCTCTTGGTGTCCTTTCCATAATGGTGTCTAGAAAATAAAGGAGCGGATGCCGAGGCAAAGGCTGCTATATATAGTGACCCCACTCTGCAGTACACTTTTGCCTCACAGTGACTTTATACATCATATCATTAGGTATGTCCTTGGGAAATGGTGGTTCGGTGGGTCCAGCAGTATGGAAAAAGTTACACAGGGTTTGAAAGGGTGTGAGTATTTGGCCTTCCTCTTTCAACAAGGATCATCACTGAGACGAATCTCTGTCGACTGAGGATCTTTTACACACATCTCACCTATCCCCACCTAGTGGGTATATAACGTGGTGATCAGCTGTTTCATCTTATCCTCGTTGTATGCTTACGACTGTAATTACAGTCGTAATAATTTACAATTATATTAAACCAGCAGATAGTACAAGATTATTGTGACATTCTTGACTGTGGAACAAATTTTAACAGTTTGCCCTCGGTTTAGACCTTTCGGTTTTCATCATGGATTTTATAATTACTGAGTTACCTGTAGGGACCTCGAGGGACTTTTAGGAGAGTCTTAACATTAATATAATTTAATGGGATATTTTCTTGATTTCGTTATTTTAATGTCACTACTACCTCTACTACTGCTACCGCGACTGCCACGACCATCACAAGTGAGGGAGAGGGGAGGGGATCTCTGTAGCTTTTCCAGTTCTGCAACTTCTCCTGTCTTCGTGAAGGAGGCTCTTAGTATACATCTGTTGCCTCGAGAAAACAAAGAACTTTAAGAACATCATCATTGGCTCGGCATCTCTTTTTTAATGTTCTAGCTCAGGAGCTTGATCTCGACTCCCAAGAGAGAGAGAAAGAGAGAAGAAAGATAGAGACAGAAAGATAGAGTCAAAGATAGATCGACTCACCTAGCCAGCCAATCACCAACACAGACAGTACACATCACCAGACAGGTGGGTTATTCCCCCTCATTACCCACACACTACTAGCTAAATGAGGTTAATTACTTGTGATAATCATCAAGGCTGACCTCCTTGTGTGTTCCGTACTACCATCATGTATATTATATATACTATACTACCACCACCATGCTATACTATATACACTATACTGTACCACCATGTATATACTATACTACCACCACTATGCTATACTATATATACTATAACTATATATAACTATATAACTTCCTAACAAATAGAACACAAGGAGTAATAGTAAACCGAATTAAGTCTGAGGCAGCTACGGTGAAAAGCTCTGTTCCACAAGGCACAGTACTCGCTCCCATCCTATACCTCATCCTCATATCTGACATAAACAGAGATGTAAGCCATAGCTCCGTGTCTTTCTTTGCGGATGACACCCGAACTGCCATGACAGTGTCATCCATCGAAGACACTGCGAGACTCCAAGCGGATATCAACCAAATCTTCAAATGGGCCACTCAAAACAATATGAAGTTCAATGAAGAGAAATTTTAACTACTCAGATATGGAAAACGTGAGGAAATTAAAACTGTATTTGGGTATACAACGAATTCTAACCATTAACAGAGTAATGTGAAGGACCTGGGAGTGATAATGTCAGAGGATCTCACCTTCAAAGACCACAACACTATCTACCTCATCTGCTAGAAAAATGATAGGATGGATAATGAGAACCTTCAAAACTAGGGATGCCAAGCCCATGATGATTCTCTTCAAATCGCTTGTTCTCTTTAGGCTGGAATACTGCTGTACACTAACTGCCCCCTTCAAGGCAAGCGAAATTGCTGACCTGGAGAATGTACAGAGAACTTCCATGGCACACAAAAGTACGATAAAGCACCTAAATTACTGGGAACGGTTGAAGTCTCTTAATTTATATTCCCTGGAACGCAGGAGAGATACATGATAGTATACACTTGGAAAATCCTATAGGGATTAGTACCAAACTTGCACACGAGATGCAACATTCCCCCAATGAAAAGCAGAGGTGCCACGAGTACAGAGACACAATAAATGTCAGGAGCCCAAGACTTCAACTGCCTCCCAGCCTACATAAAGGGGATTACCAATAGACCCCTGGCTGTCTTCAAGAAGGCACTGGACAGGCACCTAAAGTCAGTACCTCACCAGCCGGGCTGTGGTTCGTACGTCAGTTTGCGTGCGGCCAACAGTAACAGCCTGGTTGATCATACCTTGATCCACCACAAGGCCTGGTCTCAAACTGGGCCGCGGGGGCGTTGACCCCCGAAGCCCTCTCTAGGTATACCACCATGCTACACTCTATATACTATACCACTACCATGCTATATTATATATACTATACTACGACCATACTATATTATATATACTTTGCTACCATGCTGTATTATATACTACCACCATACTATATTATACTATGCTACTACCATACTATATATATGTACTATACTACCACCATGCGAAGTCTTCGTCAGCAAGTTGCGTCTTCTAGTGAGGTGGAATCTGTATAGGCTTAAAATATTACCGTAGAAGGTCTCTTACGAAGCTCCTTTTTGTCATGCCATGTATTGTTTTAGATACTATTGCAAATGTGCATCGGAACTTTAATGTCGCATAATGTGAAGGCCTCTCTCTCTCTCTCTCCCTCTCTCTCTCTCTCTCTCTCTCTCTCTCTCTCTCTCTCTCTCTCTCTCTCTCTCTCTCTCTCTCTCTCTCTCTCTCTCTCTCTCTCTCTCTCTCAACGTGCTGGTCAATATTATTGTATTTATTCTGAAGTGATAAAATGTAAGGGAAGGGGGGGGGGGGTCGTTCACCTAATTCCATTTTAATGTGTTAGTGTTTAATTTCTGTTTGAAGACACTACCACTACTACTACTACCGCTATTATTATTGCTACTACTGCCATCACTACCACCACTACTGCTACTACTACTACTACTACTGCCACTATTACTTCTACTGCTGCTACTGCCATCACCACCACTACTACTACTACTGCTATCACCACCATCACCACAACTACTACTACTACTGCTACTATTGCCATCACCACTACTACTACTGCCATCACCACCATTACTACTACTGCTGCCATTACTGCCATCACCACTACTGCTACTACTGCCATCACCACCATTACTACTACTGCTGCCATTACTGCCATCACCACCCACTACTACTACTACTACTACTACTACTGCCACTATTTACTTCTACCTGCTGCTACTGCCATCACCACCACCACACTACTACTACTGCTATCACCACCATCACCACAACTACTACTACTAATGCTACTATTGCCATCACCACTACTACTACTGCCATCACCACCATTACTACTACTGCTGCCATTACTGCCATCACCACTACTGCTACTACTGCCATCACCACCATTACTACTACTGCTGCCATTACTGCCATCACCACCACTACTACTACTACTACTACTACTACTACTACTACTACTGCCACTATTACTTCTACTGCTGCTACTGCCATCACCACCACCACTACTACTACTACTGCTATCACCACCATCACCACAACTACTACTACTAATGCTACTATTGCCATCACCACTACTACTACTGCCATCACCACCATTACTACTACGCTGCTGCCATTACTGCCATCACCACTACTGCTACTACTGCCATCACCACCATTACTACTACTGCTGCCATTACTGCCATCACCACCACTACTACTACTACTGCTACTACTGCCATCACCACCACCACTACTACTACTACTGCTACTATTGCCATCACCACCACTGCTGCTACTACTACTACTACTACTACTACTACTGCCGTTACTGCCATCACCACCACCACTACTACTGCTACTATTGCCATCACCACCACTGCTACTACTACTGCCATTACTGCCATCACCACCACTACTACTACTATTGCCATCGCCACCACTGCTACTGCTACTACTGCCATCACCACCACCACTACTACTACTACTACTGCCGTTATTGCCATCACCACCACTACTACTACTGCTACTATTGCCATCACCACCACTGCTACTACTACTGCCATTACTGCCATCACCACCACTACTACTATTGCCATCGCCACCACTGCTACTGCTACTACTGTCATCACCACCACTACTACTACTACTACTACTACTGCCATCACCACCACTACTACTACTACTGCTACTATTGCCATCACCACCACTGCTACTGCTACTACTGCCATCACCACCACTACTACTGCTACTACTGCCATCACCACCACTGCTACTGCTACTACTGCCATCACCACCACTGCTACTGCTACTACTGCCATCACCACCACTGCTACTGCTAATACTGCCATCACCACCACTACAACTACTACTGCTACTGCCATCACCACCACTACTACTACTGCTACTATTGCCATCACCACCACTGCTACTACTACTGCCATTACTGCCATCACCACCACTACTACTACTATTGCCATCGCCACCACTGCTACTGCTACTACTGTCATCACCACCACTACTACTACTACTGCCATCACCACCACTACTACTACTACTGCTACTATTGCCATCACCACCACTGCTACTGCTACTACTGCCATCACCACCACTACTACTGCTACTACTGCCATCACCACCACTGCTACTGCTACTACTGCCATCACCACCACTGCTACTGCATACTACTGCCATCACCACCACTGCTACTGCTACTAC